GTATCGATATTTCCTCTGATGGCGTAAGGGGATAAACCTTGGGCCTGTGGTGGAGAAAATACCGGGTTCGATTCCTCGGTGACACGGAATTATTTTTTCAGTGAACTAAACTTCTTTTTCATTTGAGTGATAGAAATTTACGATGTTGCATCGTATAAATTATAATGTTTGAGTTCCGGTCCGGCACTTCAATGTTCTGTACTAAAAATTACTATGTTTCCATTGTAATTTTTCGTACAATTTTCTTTCCGTGTAAGCTCATCCCGATGTTACACTCATCAAGAGCTTTCAATTGAGTACCCACATGCATTTTCATATATTTTTCATATATAGGTATATATAAAATATATAAATATATGAAAAATTGATGTGGGTACTCAAATGAAAAGTCTCGATGAGTGTAACATCGGGATGAGCTTATATCTTTAAAAATATCAATAGATAACAAACGGCAATGTCATTTCTTAATTATTGACATTATTCAAGATATAAACTCATTTCGATGTTACACTCATCGAGACCTTTGATTTAAATACCCACATGCTATTTTTTATATATTTTAAGTGGGTACTTAAATGGAAGGTTTTGACGAATGTAAGTTCAGGATGAGCTTATATCTTAAAAAATGTCAATAGTTCACAAGATACAAGGTCATTTCTTAATTATGTATACCCAGAGATAATTTTTAAATGCAGTCTTCATACATCATAATAAATAAATTATTGGTTAGAATGATATAAAACCTTAAAAAGACACAAATTCAAGTCAAGAACTTCATTAAATTTTACTAAAAAAACCGATTTTATCATATGATCTTTGATACCAAATTTTTCCTATTCTCTTAATAATTATAATCTGCACCTATTCTTAAAATTTATTGTTATTCTTATTAATAACGAAATTTATATCTCATCGAAATAAAACAAATTAATTTAAAGCCAACAAATGATGAATTTATCAGTTTGTCGAAATAATCTCCAAGTTTCAATAAATCTGTTTTATTTCTCCGTTCCTTAGTCTAAGATTACTAGAGAGAAGATTATTCCGAGATTCCAGAAATAAATCCATCTATGTATAGATGAAATCTTTATCAAAGATGGTGTGCGGCAGTAGATTTAAGTGAAGAATGAAGGATACAATAAAAAATAAAAATAAAAGATATAAAAGAAGACTAACCGAGCAAATGTTGCTGGTTGTTGTAGTGAAGAGTGAGTTTGGTGGCCTGTTTTATAAACCGAGGAAAAACTTAGATGCGGTTGAGGTTGTTTAGTACGAGACCACGGTACATACCTCCATACTATATATATATATATATATATATATATATATATATATATAGTAAACTACATGATGAAACAGGAATACAGAAAGGATTTATGTGGATGTGGATGAACTAGAGTTAAAAAGAGACAGGAGGATCCAAAGGAAGTCGCTCTGGCGATGGTGATGGTGTAGTGATGGTGATGGTAAAAGCCAGTGGGAAAAGAGGTAGAGAACAAGCCAGAGTCAAGGCCGCTCACTGCTCTCCAAGAGAACTACTAACCAACACGGAAACCCTCGGCCAGCAACTGCTGCCTCAACCAAACTCAACAATTCTTCACCTTCGTATATATATGTATGTATATAGGTATATATATGTTGGTACACGAGCCATCCCGAGGATACACTTAACTCTAGACTCGCATGTCTTCAGGATATTCACGTGTTTAATCTTCCATGTGTCTGTCTGTGTGTGGATCGTTTTGTTGCATGCAACGAGGTAAAATACCAAGTTAATATTCACCTGAGTGAAAACATCGGCTCACAACACAGCAACACACTGAGACACTGACCAACAGTGTTGTTACACTGGACCAAAAGACACCAAGGGATTAACCTCCGCTGCTTTTATTCCATTCACCAAGGATTTAATTAGGGTCACATTGTTTCTATTTTATCAACTTTGATTTTTTACATTAAAAATTTTATAATTTTGATTATAATTTTAAGAAATTACATTGTATCTTGTAAACGGATGATATTTTTTAAGATATAAGCTCATTTTGATATTGTACTCATCAAGACCTTTCATTTGAGTACCCACATGGATTTTTCATATATTTTATATATTTTAGAAATATCATATATATCAAATATATGAAATATATGAAAAATTCATGTGGGTATTCAAATGATAGGTCTCGATAAAGGTAACATCGGGATGAGCTTATATATTTAAAAATGTCAATATTTAAGAAATTACATTGTATTTTGTAAGCTAATGAGGTTTTTTAAGATAAGCTCTTTTTGATATTATACTCATTGAGACCTTTCATTTGAGTACCCACATGCATTTTTCATATATTTTATATATTTGATATATATGATATTTGTGATATATATAAAATATATGAAAAATGAATGTGGGTACTCAAATGAAAGGTCCCGATGAATGCAACATCTAGATGAGCTTATATCTTCAAAATTGTCAATAATTAAGAAATTACTTTGTATCTTGTCAATGGATGATATTTTTTAAGATATAAGCTCATCTCGACATTATACTCATTAAGACCTTTCATTAGAGCACCCACTTGAATTTTTAGTATATTTTAAATATGATATATATTTCACACATACCATATATATAAAATATATGAAATATTCCATGTGGGTACTCAAATAAAAGGTCTCGATGAGTATAACATGAGAATGAGCTTATATTTTAGAAAATATCAATAATTAACAATTGACATTGTATTTTATCAACTAATGACATTTTTTAAGATATAAGCTCATCCTGACACTACACTCATCGAGACCTTTCATTTGAGTACCCACACGAAATTTTCATATATTTAACAAATATCATATATATCAAATATACAAAATATACCAAAAATTCATGTGGGTACTCAAATGAAAGGTCTCAATGAGTACAACATCAATATGAGCTTATATCTTCAAGAATGTCAAAAAAAGTTTTCTAAATTTAGAAAAAACCAATTTTGGATTCTCCTAATAATTTTTCAAAATAATTTTTTTTTCAGTGTATTTAAAAATATCAATAAATAACTTAAGAATATTTTATTTACAATTCACAATTATCTTTAGCTACACAGTGATTGCAGGTTGGTAGTTTGTATTATTACCGTGTTTGTACTTCGCATATTATATAACAACGCAGCAAACAGGTAGCTGATAATATAAACAGATATAGATATGAATAAAAAAACAATGTATCTAATTATTGTTAAGTAAATTAGGTTAGATCAATCAAGGCCGTACTTTGTTTCTCTTGTTGCGTAGTTTATTGTGTCATTAGTACAGTGTGTAGGTTGTAATATATCTGCATTGATCAGTCAAGTTACCTTGCAACGCCTACGGAATATTTCAATGCATCGTAGGAAGTAATAATAATAATAAAATATATTATTAAAAATTCTATACAATAAAAATGTTAATTTTTAAAATAAAAAACCAATCATAATATGAGCAATGATTTTGCTTAAATTCCCATTGATTTTTCACGTCACGCTTCTAAGATATGACACGTACTTCCTTCCTTAAGTTAAGGTTAATATGTTGATTTATTTTTTTTTACGCTTGTATTAGTTTTATGATTGACCTTATGTGGCAATAAACTTATAAAATCTTTTGGCTGTATAGTAATTTGTCCCACATCTAGCTAACCAATCAGTGACTGGACAGCCTTCAGCCATTTTGGTCCACGTCATTGTAAGTGAGGTCACTAAATATTTAACCATACGTTATTATTAATAATTGTTATTAATATTAATGATCATAATCATTATGATGACGATCAGAATTTTTATTCTTTTTTTTTTTTTATGAAAATAAAAATTTTTTATCGTCTGTTGTGAAACAAGTATCTTGATTATCTGACGAGTGAAACTAAAATAAAAATAAAATTAAAGCTTAATCGATGGATTATATTGAGAAACACTGGCCTCCATTTCCATAAATGGTACATTTTAAAAGCGACTGGATAATATGGGCAGAGGAAACAAATAGCAGTGAGATTCTTTTTTTTTTTTGCTCATTGTTGGTTATAAATAGTGTGGGAAAATTTTTAAAATGCATATATAGATGAGTATCTTTGAAAGGTGCCTGGATTATTTATATTATTAAGAGAATAAGCGAAATTTTGTAGTTAGTGTATTTATATGTTAAAATGGATTTTTATAGTTAATATGTGAAATATTGACATTTTTGAAAATATAAGCTCATCGCGATGTTACACTCATCAAGACCTTTCATTTGAGTACCCACATCAATTTTTCATATATTTTATATATTTATATATTTCACAAATACCATATATATATATATATATATATATATATATATAAAATTGCATGTGGGTACTCAAATGAAAGCTCTTGATGAGTGTAACATCGGGATGAACTTATATCTTCGAAAATGTGAATATTTAAGAAATTACCTTGTATTTTATTCACTATTGACATTTTTAAAGATATAAGATCATCTTGATATTACACTCATTAAAACCTTTCATTTAAGTACCCACATCAATATTTTATATATTTATATATTTCACAAATACCATATATATAAAAGTGTAAACATTGTACAATTTTTAAAGATATAAGCTCATCTTGTTGTTACACTTATCGAGACCTTTCATTTGAGTACCCACATCAATTTTTCATATATTTATATATATTATATATATGTATATATGAAAAATATGTCAAAATGCATGTGGGTACTCAAATGAAAGCTCTTGGTGAGTGTTACATCGGGATCCCGGGAAAAAATGATTTTTTTGTAGTTTTTTTGAGATTTCTCAAAATCTACCGGCTCGAATCGGTCCAAAGTGTATTAAAAAGCTAAGATTGGTTAAGCCCTTGGTTAATAATTAAATTCCTGTATGTTTAAATAAAGCCCGGCGAAGCGGGCTGGGTACGCTAGTTATCAATAATCAATAATAACGTCATAGCGTAAAAAAAATTTTGTGTTAAAAATTTTCATGTTAAATATTTAACATTTTTTCGTGTTGATTTAACAGAATTAATGTTAAATTTACACATAAAAGTGTTAAATATTTAACACAAAAATTTTTAACACTAAGATTTTTGACGCAATGACGCAAAATTTTTTACTGTGTATATTAGAGTGATTTATTTGGAACGGCTATATATTTTATTCGCTCCATTAACATATGGTTCTATGTAAAGTAAAAAAAACAATTTCTTCAAGGTTTATTCCGTAATTATAATTTTATTGTTTTCTTTAAAAATTGAAGTTTTTTTTAATAAAAACGTATAGGAAATGAAGAATTATTTGTGTGTTCTACAATTTAAAAGCCTTTGACACTACTGCATTGGACCAAGGCGTAGCTTAAGATAATAGCAGACACCTTGAAAGGACTTATCGATATCAATTGACATATTTTGGTATATTTTAACGCTATCAAACTCAAACTTTTACTAAATAATCTTATTTTTCGCGTATTCAATGGAACACAGTAAAAAATTTTATGTCATTGCGTCAAAATTCATCGTTAAAAATCATCGTTTTGGCATGGAAAATTAAAAAGTTCATGCTTATATAAACCGAAATTTTTAATGAAAGTTTTACATTTAAAATTTATAAGGGGATAGAAACTGATACGTCATACGGAACAAATTAATTTTAAAAATAGAACTGCAGTCTATAGTTCGATAAAATTTTTTTTCCAGATTTAAAATATCATTTAAGAGGGCAAATCATGCATGAACAGTTCTTGTCTGATCAGGTCTGATCAGATATGAACAGGTCTGATCAGTCCTGAACATTTTTTCCCGGGATGAGCTTATATCTTCAACTACGTCAATATTTAAGTAACATGAATTTTTTTTTTAAATATAATAATAACTAATTGTTCATCAATATTAATCTATATAAGTCCGTGGAATAACAAAGTACCTTCGAGAGAGGCCGCTTTGAGCGCCATCTAGCGACGAGTTCCCAAAATTTCAAGGTATTGGCAGGCGAAATTACGAAAAATTCTACAGAAGCTCATAAAAATTCTTAATAAAATATTTTTTTACAAATTCTAACAAGATTAAAAAAAAAAACATTTTTATAAAAAAGTGAAAGAAAATCTTTTAAATAATGTTTACTTCAAATTAAGAAAAAATAAATGTTAACAAATTTTAATATCAAAGCTTTAAATGTAAATTACAAAAAGTAACCTCGAGATATTACATTAATATTAAATATTATTAATAAAAATATATAGAAGCAAGCAATTCTTGGCAACTTTTGCTAGTCGCTGTTGCTTGAGGGAATTTCCCAGCTATTACCGATATTACTTAGCGTGTCGGCCACGTTACACAGGTTCTAGTAACCTATACGTGGCAACGTCGTCACGTGTGTCTCTATTAACTCTTTCATCTGTGGAAACTCGTTGGGCGGAACGTAGAAGTCACGGTCGGTGAAAGTACAAGAGCTACGGCATCACTGCCTTTTATTCCAAACAACATATCTCTATACATATATACATACATACATTTACCTTTTTTATAATTATTCATCCTTATTAATATTTATGCTATTTGCTACATTCATCTACACACACATCGAGTTTTTATTTTAATTTAATTAATGCATT